TGGGATAAATTATTCAGGGTGGTTTCCCGTTGCCTTCCCTGATATGATGATGATGATGATGATGATGATGGGGGTGAAAGGACGAACACAATACAACCATGCCCGAGGCGGGACTCGAACCCGCGATCTTTCGGTACGAGGCCGCTACGGCACTACTGCCTTAGCGATCTCGGCCACCGGATCGGCTTATACCTAACCAAAAATATTTAAATAGCGGAAATATTTTGTTGTGGTGCAAATACGTTACAATCCGCACGAGCTGCCACTGGAATTCGCAACGACATTCACAAATTGCAGTGAGAGACGAAGAGGATCGAAGTGATTGAAATAAGAAATGTTAGATCGTTCCGAATAGAACAAACTTTTTTAATGTTACGCTCGTAATGATTTACCCAACACAACAAGGACCGGTCAGAGGTCTTCAATATCGCGATTTTGGAGGGCACAAAGCCCTTTCACCTTATGAGGTTGGGTGATAGAGTGGGTCGGCCGCTGGAAAGCTTACGAACTTGACCTCAAGACTTTCCACTGTTGGTAACAATGCGATTCAGTCTTTATCAGCTCGTCACATTCCGTGCACCACACACATGGACAGTCTGACGCCAGCACTTCGACAACTGAATGCTGATGCTGTTGCAAAGGTGGACAGACAAGTGCAGGCAGGAGGCGAATGTTGAAACCTACTACCCGAATGAAGTGATGGCGCACGAGCTAAACCGGCTTCTCTAAGCGACTTTCCAATAAAAATGACTTTCGCATTTTAAGTCCCAGCACCAAAAAAAAAAAAAAAAGACAAATTAAACAAAGCTCGTGAAATAACGTCAACGTACACGAAAATCTGAATATCAGCCCACGCTGCATAAAACTATTAAACGGAGTAAGATAAGAAAAAATAACCTTCTTTGAGATTTTCTCCACAGCAAAATTTTTCCTACAGCCAGTGCATATTGACCCTCAAATTATTCCTTCCAATCTGATAAAGAATACGAAACTTTTCTGCAGGCAGAGAAAAGGCAAGGCAGTAGGACGCTTTTCGGAAGAAAATTTAATAATCTTTAAGAAAAAGTTTAACATTTTTGCTTATTTTAATAATAAATCAAATCATACAAGTCTGCATCACACTACAGTTACTATTTTATGGTGAAAGCAACTACATGCGTTGAAGAAATACACTGGTATCTCCAAGTAAATGAGAACGTATAAATCGTCTCGGAAATATCGTCAACGATACGAGTTCGACGATAGTATTACTGGATATATGCTATTTGCGGATATAGGACATTTCGTATTTCCAGGCCTTCGTTCTGTCGCTTCAAAACAAACCAAGTGAGCATACATTACAACTATAGGGGGAAAATATGCATTTGCGTTAAAAGCTGGTCGCTAGTCATTACTTTGCGCAACCAATCATTTTGTAGTTGATTATTCATAAAATTTAATTTTTTGTGACGATGAATAAGACAACTACGATTTTGTTCCGCTCCTTTAAGCTTTTTTCACTGAACTGAATTATTTTTAAGAGCGAAGACGTACAAATTATTACAAGAATTCAAGAAAAGTTTCATTTTTCTACAACCGCTAACACGTCCACCATTATAAATCTTACCAAGATTGACTAAACTGAATAAAAATCCGCCGGTGATGTAGATACTGAATGAGCCATTTACATTATCAATTGGAATCTGTATGGTAGACAGTCGGAAAACAGTTTACTTTCTGTTTATTCTTCGTTTTAAATTTCACTTTCAAAATAAAACTAAATCGTTGGACTATTTCCGAACTAGCCAATTCATGAAGAGGTCGGGGGTACATAGTGCTAATCCACAAGTACATAATTGTTGTTAACCAGAGTAAAAACACAGTTTTAGTACAATGATTTGGCTTTATTTTCTATATATACACTCCTGGCTGTTTTCTACATACTTACTGCAGTTCTATGAACATTTTTTTTAACATTTCGAGCACAATGTTTGTTTCCAAGACCTTTGGTTTGGATTTATGAAATAAGGGTTATCATTTTCTTCTCCCGATACCTTCATATGCATTGATAATGCATGAACGATAAAACAATATCCCCTTAATGTTGGATGTAATATTTCTTACTGTTTCTTTCAATTGTGGATTAATTCAATACAAATTCTAAGCTGGGGTTGAAATCCTTTTAGAAAATTGAGACGAAACGTAGAATAACTTCCATCCACATTTATTAGAGCTACAATTAGGGAAGAGGGATAAGATTTTTACCTTCGGAGATTGCGAATTTGCTTTTCTTTATCGACCCTATCACGTTTCAAGCTATCACGGGATTTTTATGGTCGAGAGACTAAACAATTTTCAGCCTAAAAGGAATTCAGGGTGAATACCGCCACTTAAACAATGGTGGCCACTAAGGGAAAAAAATGAAATGCCACTTTATTTAATTCTCCGTTTGTATGTATTGATTTATTAACGAAACGAAACCGACTTCTTCATTTCACATGGAATTTGATTTTGTTACTAAATAAAAAACGTATTTGAAGGGACGGAGGATCTATGAAACATGCTTCGATGCAATTTGCACATGATTGCACGATTTGCACGATGCAATTTGCACATGCACATTTGCACATGAAACATGCAGACGATGCAATTTGCTAGTCACTGCCTAGGGCAAAGAGCCAACCCATTAGGTTCCGCACTAATTTTTACACTAGAGTTATTTTCCATTTCTTTAAATGGTTAGTAGATATTGTTAATGTGAAGCACACATAAGTAATACTTTCGAAGAACATTTTTCTTAAAAAACCAATAATAACTCGATAATAACTAAAATTAAAGAACGAGAAAGGGGTGCTCACTTTAGGCATTTATATCTGACCACAGTGGCACAGTATTTCACTTATAAACTTAGAGAGGAAATGCTGGAGTGGAGGATTCGAGCTGCGGGTGACAGAATTTTCACTGTGTACAAGGGTAAGTCAATAAGTACGTTCTGTACTCTGTGTGCATAATGGATTACAACAACAGTACAAAATTTACAGAGAGATCATTTTCAACATAGACACCATGCTTTTCAACGCTCGTGGTCTACCATTGCACTAACTTTCCGATAACCGGAGAAAAAAGATGTTTCGATTGAGCAGCAAGTCCTGTATGCACTCCTCCTCCTGTATGTCGGAGGCAAATCTTGGACGTCTTATAGTACTCGTATCTTTAAGTGGTCCAACAATATTGTAATTATGCGTGACAAGATCGTTATTGTGTCCGGGATGCTCTGGCCCCTCGAAGATTTTGAAGAGTTTGAAACGCGGTATGTGGAGGCGTGTTTTCTTGCAACCTAAGAATGCTTTTCAGAACGTAGTTCAACCTGTGATGTTAACCTCCAATTTCATTAGTCAAGATCTCATTAGAGATTAACATTTAGGAGGACTCGTGCGGAGTTTGGCTTATTGGAATGTTTCCGGTTCATATTGCGATGTGTCTTCCCTTTCATTCTTTCGTAGTCACCACTCAGGAGTAAAACTGATAGAGTGTAAGTAGTGTCTTTGCGGCACAAGAACAAAAAAGAATACACTGATGCATTAGCTTGTTATTACATTCCATATATACGAAAACTAAATATGTCTTTAACAACTATTCTACAGTTCTGCTGGGTATACGCCTTTCAAATTCTGTTTTCGTCCTTCGCCTTAATCCTTGTAGCAAGCGCTGATACGGTCGCTTGCTTTACATCCGGACAGAATGCAGTTCAAAAGTGCTCATTGCTGTCCGGGTGATGTGGCAGGGTAGTTTGATGCGCAGATATTTCTGACTTCCCACCGTGACCTTCATCAGGGCTATATTCGATGCTGCGTCGCCTGGCCAGCCGCGAGCAATCGGACCATACCCGCGGAAGTCTTTGATGCGACGATAAAATTAATATTCTGTTCTCCGAACTACAAATATACATCTTTAACAGACCGTGCGCAATACATAGTGTCCCAGGCTTGTTTTTCCTTAAGCAAAACAGTTACTTTTACAACCTAACTAATTGTGCGAAAAACATCGCGATGCATTTGCGTAGCGTTCCTGCGTTTGCACACGGCGTATTAAACAGTATTATTCGCAACACGTGCGCAGGGCGTTTCGCGCACTACGATCTATATTACAATCTGCATTACTAATTTTTGTTTTGAATGCGCCAAGAAATTGAAAGGACTCTTTGCAGCCGCGGTCATGAGTGATGTGGCTTAGATATCCAGGAACCCAGAAAAGAAAACTCAAAAACTATGAAACAGTTTCGATTTTGACTGAAAAATGAAATACTGTATTGTGTTATTTTACCTGTGCTCATACTGCGCTTATCGACTGACTAGTATTCTCAGAGTGTCACTGCTTACAACAGAGCAGACGTGATGGGTCTCCAGGACAGAGGCTACCCGCCATTAAATATTATGTTGCGCTATGGAAGGGCAACTGTTTTGATATTCTTGATATGTAAAAGAACAGTTCTACTGTACATTCATTTTACGAAACCATGTTATTGCACTGTGAGAAAACTGTTTTTGATAAATATTTAATTAATTGCAGTGTTATAGGGAACAGTTTGTTGCTCTTGAGAAGCGTAAGTGAACTATTTTGTATGGTTTGCTTTGAGCAGCTTTTTTAATTCTGCAGTAGGCCTCTAGTGTTTACTATTCTTCGCGGTAGGTCCATGGCAATGGACGGCCACTCACCTTGAGATTGCTGAGAATGGCGAGCGCGAGGTGGATGTCTGCGTGGTCTTCGGCTTGGTGGGCGGGGCCTCCGCGGGCCGCCGCGTCGAGGGGCGCAGAGGCTGCATCCACGCGGCCGGCGGAGCGGCAGGCGGCGGCGGCGGGGCGGTGTCGCTCCGCCGCCCGCCTCCGCCTCCAGGGCTTTACTCCACTCCGCCCTCTCGGAACACATCGGATTCACTTCACTCACTGAACCGACTCACTAAACCGACTCACTGAACCGACTCGCTGAACCGACTCACTGAACCGACTCACTGAACCGACTCACCGATTCGTTCACAGCCTCCGATTCGATTCGCCGATTTGTTTACCACTGGCAGTCGGGGAAGCGGGCGTCCGCGCACACGCTCAGTCTTTTGCTCAAAGGGAGGAGGGGTTGGCGTTCAGTTCTTGTCCATCGGCGGGGCCAGCCCTGGAGGGCAGTGGGGCAGCGACAGGCGCTACGCGACACGGACGCCGTAGGCCTCACCATCAAGTACCGGCTGCCGGGCGGCGGCGGCGGCGGCGGCTGCAGGCGGCGGCGGAGGGGCTCTGCGAGCGGGGCGAGGAACGGTTGAGGCGGCGCGGGGCGCGGTGGCGGCGGCGGCGGCGTCTGCGGCGGCGACGACAGCGGGGGCGGCAGCACCATGCGGCGGCGCTACAGCTGCGGCGGCGGCTGAAACAAGAGACAACAAACGTTACACTCAGAGCTGGGCGTTGGCCGACGTACAAAAAAAGTCGGCCTGGAATTGAAAAACCCCGCTCGGGTCCCCAAGTTTTCCGGAGGCACTCGCGTCGTTAGTGCTAAGGTGAGCACAGTGAGGAGGTGGGAGCGCCGAGACTTTCGAGTATGGCAACCCGACCAGCCCCCCGTTGGGCTCTTGGCTTCTTCGAGGCGGGGCGTGGTTCTTTTGGGTTATTGAGAAGGGGTTCTTCCCGGCACGTGAGTAGTGTGAAAAGACAACGGTTCCAACCTTCAAAGTCGGAAGCATCGAACTGGCGGGGCAGCCCTATGCAGACTCAGTCCGGCGAACCGTCCACGTCGTCTCGTCAGAGGATTGCGTGCCGGTGTATCTGGATGCCAGTCTGAGGGTGCATTAATGCAACCCGAGAAGAATGAGCATTAGGGCGAAAAGCCGGGGACCAACTATCGGGTGGGTAAAATTCCTTGTGAAAACCAAATGTACGTAGAATTCGGGGGTTCACCGCCCGTGAGATCTATTTACAGTACGAAAGAGTCCTCTGAGGCAAATACACATAACGATCCGCTTAACTAGCTTCCCACATCAGCTACCGCGGTTCAGTCTCTGGTTATTCCACGAGGATTTGCGACGGACAAAGTTGTTTCGTGATAGGTTATCTTGGAGTTCTCTCGTTTGTCTATGGCTTTAATTTTTCGATTCCTTCATCATTTATTTCATTTCGTACATACCATTGAAATAATTCATCCACGCATGACTTCATTCTTGGGTTGTAGTTAATAAACATGTATGTGTACGGGATGTTCGAAGCTAGCTATCTAGATCTGGGTTACGGGGTTCAAATTCAGCTTCAGAGTATTTGGAATATGTGCTGGACAAAGCATTTGTGCATCAGATTTCCTCAAACTTCTCGTACAATGGATACATTAAATAATGTAAAACGTGAACACAATATAGATGTACTTTACTGTAAATCAGAAAATTAACGTTTTCGGTAATATGTAAGGAGTGTTGTAATGTACTACAATGTAGGTAATTTTCATCGAAAGATTCTGGAGCTATGGACTTCCTGGCCTTCCTTTACATCCAAGAAATTCAGAAAAAACATTTTCAAAAATTCCTTTATTTCAGGTCATTTATTTAACGCCCAAAGAATATTTTGGTTGCATGTGACTCTTTAATAGTCATATGAACTTTGTATTCGCGGTAAAATTGCAAAGACACTGATCATTTTGTAGTACGAAAGCACGATACCTAGTACGAAAGCAGCAGCAGACTTTAACTTCATAAGCCCGATTGCTTGCTTTCTTGGTCGATTATTCCGTGTTTCCGGCCGTATCAACTGTAACGGATGTAAGTCTCGTACGTTTGATACACGTTTTTATCGGATGTGAGATGTTCTTCCCCTGAAGAGTCGTGAGATTCGGCTCCAATCTACACGTTGGCTTATGAGTTTTACCCCACTCCAGCCGCGACAATCTCTAAGCTCACATCTGGTAGAGTAGCGCGTGTAAGCATGTGTGTGTGTGTGTGTGTGTGTGTGTGTGTGACGGGTGAGGAGGCGATAAGAATGAGTAACGAAAGATCGCGCGTGACACTCGACCCACGTGTTGCAGCACTACTCCGGCAATCGCCTGTATTTATTTATTTACGTCAAAAACAGTTAAAAACTGTGTGTGACGTGCTATGGGGAGAAGTTCATTTGAAGTTACATTTATGTCCAGAAGCAAAACATGGGGCCATCTCAGCACTTGTTCGAGGATCAGGGAAACTGGGCGAAAACCTGATCGAGATGGGGGTCATTGACCCGGAAGCTGAAGTACAATACTTGTTACAGGTTCTTTACAATTATACAATCCAAATGGTATAAAATACATTAAATGTCATTGTTAAAATTAATATTACTTTCCTTCTGGATGGTCGGTATAGTCTCTAATTGTATAGAAACAGTTGTGCAGCAGAAAAGATTTTACTTGCGACTTCAACTTTTGTATCGAATTTAATCGTTTAATGTCATCTGGCAAGGTGTGGTAAAATAGTGTACATGTATTATATGTAAATTTTGTGTGGAAAACTTCCGATCAGAGCAGCCGAATTCTAGAATCATTCTCCAGACAGCTGCTGAATTTCACATAGCTAGCTAGTGTCGGACAGCCGCCAATGCGATAGTCGCGGCTCAAACCCTAGAATCTCCAGGTCCGTCGCTGCACTGCCAAAAGTGTTTGCCCCAAGCCATCTCTACATGTGCATGAAATAGCTGCTGCAATGCTCATTGCCAGTGAGGTTTTGTCTCAGTCATTAATTGTAACCTATGCTTCTCAATTTAAGGTTTTACTTGCATACGCTCTCCGCTTAAAGCAAGATTCTCATCACCTCTAGATGGCTATAAAAGTCAAGGAAGATATAAATCAAAGTCACCATTAACTCCCAAAAATAATGTATGCTTCCTACTGATGCAACGGGAAACGTGATATCCGTACCTCGTTTGTAATCGAGTCCAACCAAATACGACTAGGAAATAAAGGAAACGCACAACCGACCACATCCGTTCCACGGACGTGTGCTCAAATATCATTTGCCAACTCCCACACGAAACGGATGTTGATCGATACAACAGTAGCGGGGACTTGGCGTTCAATTCCGCTTCTAAAAATGAAACAAGAGAGTAGGCAATATACGCGCTAAAACAATGTGTTTCTTGAAACTGTCTCGTAAAAAAGGACGTTGACATTACTGTATCCGCTATTAGCGTTTGCAGATGGGCTTTTCAACCCACAGCACGTCGAAATAATGATTCACAAACATGTCAAGTGGTTGTTGGTATACTCTTCAGTACAAACATGCACTCCATTTCCCAACTACCCTTCAGAGGGAAGCAGAACTTTAAGAAATTGACTCTAGAGAACGCGGTAAATTTAAAATAAAATGTGGAGTGGAAATTTGGAAGTCAGAGCAGATATGTGGAACAATTCTAATAAGTTCTCCAATTTCACCGTCTCATTCTATTTCATCTTCACTAACATTATCTTAGGCAGTTATGACGATGATGATGATGATAATAATAATAATGATAATAATAATGATAATGATGATAATAATGATAATGATAATATAATAATAATAATAATAATAATAATAAAACTATTTTGAAATTGTTATTAGTTCTTCCTGTTCCTGATTTAATGTTGTTGGTACGTGGTAAGCTTTACGTAGGTTTGGACCATACATAATCGATCTTAGGTAGATTTCGGAAATTAAAGTATTTTGTCTTAATACCTGGAATCTACGTAATATTGATCTTATATGGTAAACCTACGTAATCCTACGTAAATTTGACCACCTACAATAATAACTATAAATAATAATAATAATAATAATAATAATAATAATAATAATAATAATAATAATAATAATAATTAAAAGTCATTAAAGTTACACCCGATTGGGAAACTGACGATAAAGAACGTTCACATTCCCTGTATGGAATGGCGGTTGAGCATTTTATGAAAAAAAAAAGACAATTAAAAAAGATACAAGACATTTTCTCCTTTCAATTCATTTCGTAACGATACAAATGACAAAACAAAGCCTCGCAGCAGACTGATTCATCATCGGAGCGCCCTGCCGACTGCTTCCTATTAGTGTTCATGTTACGAACTCTCCTGCTGCCTCGTGTTATCTGATTTATATGTAGTGTCTCCTCGCGGTGACTACTTGGAAAACAAAGGGATAACTGACATCCAATCGGGAGCTTCGGTACAACTTACATTTTTGTTATTGAAGCTCCTGAATGGATGACAGTTCCCTCTCCTTCCAATTCAAAACCTTAACGCGAAAAACAAAATTGAATTTGGACTATAAAGAGCGACACACATCTACGTAATAGTTTTACCCATCCGAACTAGTGTCTAAATCTGGCTACAGCACGAAAGTGGCGTCTCGTGTCCCCTGTAGCATGCCAATGCCAGAGCCAAAACATTTTGCATGGCCTTTTTGCATTTTGGAATGTATTTAGTTATGACACATGCACATTTGCACACACATGCACAAATGCTCATATTTCTATAAGAACATTTACTCCGGTGAGTCATCGCATCTCAATTCTCTCGCTTTAACTGCAAATTACAAACAAGAGAATAGTCTGCGCAGGTCTGTGGCTTAACGCGCATTGCCATCTGGGAGCCTCAGTGCACCAACACAAAGACGAACTGCCGGCATTATGCGGGGAGAAATGAGAATCGTCACCCCTAAGGGTTCGGGAATGACCTTCACGCCTTCGCGGACACTCCGCAGGCCGATGACAAGAATACCACCAGTTGATGAAGAAATAAAATGTGTAGTTGGAAATATGTTAAAAAATTAAACAGCCTTACCTTCATAATTTACCCATAAATCTGGTAGTAATAAATAGTTTAGAAATACGACGTCTTAAAACGTCTCAAACCCCTCTTGTTGCTGTATAGATTCTAAAGATGCTATTCATATTAAACGTCTACCAACAGTAATGAGTTTATTAATTAATATCTTCTCCTAGCAATTAATTATGTAAGTCAATAGACGTACTTATTGTTTAAATGTACGAACAGATTGTAAATAAACAATATTTTAAAAGTTTTTACATTGTTTATCTCATAAACATGACCTCGGTGACGGGGGGGAGTGTGACCCGTCTCATTCAACCGTGGGGGCGTTCTTGGCTGCATTGCAGTACACGCAGCAGAGACAATAGTTTCCCATTATCCCAATACGGCTGGGTTCGTTGATGGAGGAGTCTGGGCCGTCCCACCCCATTTTTTAAACTACTATTTCATTTTGTGAACCACCATCTTCAGGAAACATGAACACCCGCTGCAGCAAGGCGAGTGACGCCAACAAACCCCACCTCGGACTGATTGATTAGTGATTCCGGGAGCGTCAACAGGTAATATCGTTAGTCCCGTAAGCGTAGTACATGTATTCTTCTTCTGGCTGTGATCTTCCTGTCGACTACCGAGGCTATCTCTTAAGATCCCGACCAGTCTCCCGGTGTGAGATAGTATAGGGCATGGAAGTATAAGATGGGACGGGGATAAGACAAGGAAGAGGAAGGAAAGATCGCGCGCCGTCCGTGGCCCGTTTGTTAGGATACTGTTAGTTTGTTTAGGCATTCTCCTGTTGTTGATGGAAAACTACCGATGAGAGCAGCCGGCCGCTAGAATTCTCCTCCAAACAGCGACAAAACTCGAGCTAGTTACTTGTATGTAGCTAGTGTCGAAAACCCTGCCAACATCGGGACTCGAATCTAGGACCCGAACTATCAGAGACACCGCAGCTGATACCTTGAGCCACCTCTCGCGGTCCCGGCTTCTGATTTTCGTGGAAACGCTTTTTCGTGGTAGGAGATACCCCGGACGACTACGCGCGTACCCGTATTCCGCCAGATGATTATTGTTCTCATCAACAACATATTATGTTCTAGCAACTGTTCCGCAGAGTCCTTCAAGGCCTGGATTTCTTCCTCGGTCCGTCCGAGATGCCGCGACGTCCACACTGCGCGCAGTAGTCTTCCAGCCCGTGGGAAAGGAAAGTGAGCGGTGGCGGCGGCGTCAAGGAAACACGCGTCTCGTGCAACGTGTTTGTTGCAACCAAACAAAAGTGTTTGTGCTTTTACGAAAAGAATAAGTCTCCAGGCGTAAGCACATCAGGGGTGGGCAAACTTTGGGACTTTAAAGCCAAATGCGGCCTACGAGATCCGTACACCAGAATTAGAACGCGAAACGATGTAGATATTGTAATGGCTTAAAGGCCTTCGGCCTAGCCACATAGGGTCAAGTAATCGTTTGTAATAATTACCTATTAAATAAATAAATAATACATTTGGAAAAAAATACCAAATATTTTTAATCAATAAAATTTTCTTCTCTACTTTTGTTGAATTACTTTTAAAAATAAATATACGGCCCACAAAAATAACTTTATCTGATGAGTAAACCTTTCAGTTTAGCTAAATGATTACATCAATTACATTTCGAAGGTATTGATGTAAACACCCAATTTAATCACAAAGAACAGCAGAAACGTGCTCGAAACTTGTTAGTAAAATCATTTCTTGATTTATGAATCATAGTTAAATATTATTTTTTAAAGAAGGAGATACATTCGTCACCATAGTACAAGAATTCAAAATTAGTGAGCATTAGGCGGCGGCGATGGTGTAACGGTTAGCGTACTGGACTGTTGTACCGAAGTTGGCGGGTTCAAACCCGATCGTGGATTTTCGGCGAAAAAATCCTTCGGAGGGTAAGTAAAGCCGGCTGTCCCATGTTGGTAGATTTGTTAGCATGTAAAAGATCCTCAAGCCTAAATGACGCCTCTGAGCTAAATTCAAATCGCCTGTTTCTCGCCCAAGAAATATCTCCTTTCTCTCCTAGTTGGTGAAAGGAGCGTAGCGAAATTTGCGTGGTCAGACGGAAGAGCGGGCCTGATGGCCCGAGTCTCGCCACAAGGCAAATTCAATTCAATTCAATTCATTAGTCACAAGAATGTGCTAGTTGTGGCTAGCTCGTGGTCAGCGTGCTGGCTTTTTCACTACGCGGCCCCTAGTTCAATTCCCGGTCGAGCCAAGATTATAGTGTGCGTTTTCCTTTCAATGACCCAGAATTTGTTGCTTTATGACGATGAGAAAATTCACTTCTCGGTTTGAGGAGACCGGAATACGCCGTAGGGATGTCTAAATGCTAACCACACGTACCACCTAACCCACGGCCGCGCGGCAGAGACGTCGCCAGTAGGCCTGAGCCCGGTCACGGGCTGTTGCGCCAAGAACATACATACATAGTCATAATAATATTACAATGATAAAACATTGTAATATTATCATTGTAACAACATTAAATAATACATTTTTTCATTCCTAATTAGCTCCACAAAGCAACAAATATTGCAAAGCTATTTTAGGGAAACTATTTCAATGGAGTATGTCCACATAGTTTTTAAAATGAACACGTCACCAGCCTCTGAAATATGTTATTTTTTAACGTTTGTGTCAAGTGACTTTATTATAAAATAATTACATTTTGTTTAAAACCTATTGCATAATAAATAAATTGTGAATTCAGATCTATGGATAAAAATGAATGTATTGATAGGTACATTACAACACGTTTCAATTCGAAGAAAGGAATGTATTTCTTCCAATGCTCAAGGTCTAGGAACGGAATTACAGGGAACATAAATGATGCAATACCATATTTCCACGAACTAGATCGTCCTTTGTTCTCATCGATTTGTAAGGGAAAAAGTCGTTAAATTACGAGGGGAGAGAGAGGGATTTCGAGGGCACTTCACTGATAAAAAACCAGCGAACTGATGCACACAGAAAATGAAATGCTGCATAATGTGCACTTTTTACTGTCATGTTCACCAATAAGAGTAATTACTCCAGTTTTGGCGTTGCCTGTTTTTAAAGAATTAGTTTCAATCTTCACTATATGTATCAGTTAATGTAAAAAAGTGAATTATAATTATCATCAAAATGGCGTTACGTTTTTTAGCCCCTTATCAGTTTCCTGCCCATACATTTATACATGTAATTTCAAAACGTTGAGGAATTCTACATTCATGTGAAGAATCATAACTAATCTAATACTAACATCAAACGTACTGAAAACTGACTACCTCAAATACCCAAATCCATAAGTAAACGACGATTTAAACGAAGAATTCTCGTCTTATTCAGAGAGGCATTGGTGAATTCCTGGGTCAAGTATCTAGTGCTAGGAAATTCTTTCAACTCCGTGAGTCGGTAACCCAATATCCTAAATGGCTAAAACTGGTTAGGGAAAAATATCAGTATTTTGTGGTACAGGATTTTTCACGAATTAAACACAACAATATGAAATAAGATAATCATAACAATTTGAAATAACATTACTATCCCAACACCACAAATGTGATTACAAAATCAAGCTTATTATAACACGGTGAGCGAATTTTTGTTTGTCCCTATGATATTCACATGATTCTAAGAACGATTAAATAGGAACGTAACAGACTTTCTACGAGTGAAAGAGTGTAAATACGGAGAATTTCGGGGCACATAAGAACTCACATGAGCAAGTTCTCACATTTTAAATAAAGTTCCTAAATTTGTACTCCAATGTTACCAAGCGCGCATAATTTAAAAAAAGTCGTTTATGGCCATTTATAATATCCCTCTACATAGGACCACGATCAAGGGCGAATTTAAGGGGAGAATGAAGGGGCATGTATCATCCCCCAAAAAAATGTTTCATTGCGAGTAACGTAATGTATTTTTAATATTCATATAACATTTTATTGATGTGTTACAAATATTGTATTATTAAATATTCGTATATTTTTAAGGCAAATTTACTATGAAGTAAAATGAAATATTTCTATTGAATACTCTCTCGTACTCTTCCCTTGGGCACTTTCCAGAAGGGGCCTACTCAATGTGACACTAGAATTCTTACAGTCAGCTCTGCTGGGAGTTAAGTAACCTTACACTCTTGTACTCGAATTACGAGACCATGATCGCTTTAGGCAGGGCTGTTCAAACACACGAAGTCGGGGCAAGAGGGCCGCTGCAGAGACCCGCATGCCACCAGCCTTTTTCTACGCTACAGTCGATCGCGCTACAGCGTCTCCCCTCCCCGTCCCTCTGGGCTGAAAACACGCAACGGGTAGGCTCGCGGACAAGCACTGGGTCTCTTGAGCAGCCGCGGCTTAGGACAGTAGATCTCTAACGGTAGTGTCGGCGAGTCGACAGGCACAGTGTGGAATTCTTTTCCTACGCTCGGCTTGCGACCTCGATGTCGCGTGCCTCACATCGCCCCCCCTCCCATCTTCATCCCTCTCTAAGTGAGGGGAGGGGACAGGCATGCGGCATGCGGTGTCGCCAGCACATGCCACCGCCTCCGGCCGCCGACGGCTCCTGGCGTAATGAAATTCCGGTCGCGCTTCCGACTCCGACAGCGTTCCGGGTCGGTTCCAGCGCGTCGGGGACTTCAAACGGACACGCACACGCACACGCCTGCAGATCTTTCGAAACCCCTTGCTCGATTTCCATTCTACCTGATTAGCGCACGCCTGCAGATCTTTCGAAACCCCTTTGCTTGATTTCCATTCTACATGATTAGCCCACGCCTGCCGATCTTTCGAAACCCCCTTGCTCGATTTCCATTCTACCTAATTAGCCCACGCCTGCAGATCTTTCGAAACCCCTTTGCTCGATTTCCATTCTACCTGATTAGCCCACGCCTGCAGATCTTTCGAAACTCCTTTGCTCGATTTCCATTCTACCTGATTAGCCCGAGTCGCCCAGCCATGCATGAAGTAGCCACGTCACTCGTCTCACACGCCCCAACCATCCTACCAACCCCGCTTGTCCGGACCGTTCCAGTCCCCTCCAGCCCACTTCCGCCAGCTCCAACCTGCACCAATTCGCACCAGTCTGCTCCAGCCCGCTCCTCCAGCTCAGCCCGGCCCGGCCCCATCCGGCATCGCAGGGCAACTATGCCCTCGCTAACCCAACGTCTCTAATACCATTTTGACGGACAACAATATCTGGAGTAACATTTTGAATACCGAACCTGCCCAACTTTTTTCTCGGCTTCTCAAAAGTGGTCCAGCAGAATTCGGGGATCATATCAGACGTTAAAACGTTTTTGTAGATCAAACGCACACATAGGACTATGCATCCATTGTATTAACATGAAGTTTTATTGCAGCATGTAATGAAGACGATGAGTAGTCAATAAATAAACCACGCAGAAAAAAATTGTGTTCCACTGCGTTTTCGCTAAACGTTTTATTGTCGTGTCCCTCCATAACTATATTTCCATTATGACTGCGTACATTTTATCTATGTTTGCACAATGATCACGTATTTGCGACAGCCTCCGCTTTTATAACCTTTAATTAACTGTACAATCGAAGAGAAGGAACAATAGAATATCATAAACCTAATCGCAATTTACTTTGAAACAATTTCTGCGAAATCGATGTTACTTGTGTGATAAAAAAATCGTTTTTCCGACTTTAGAACAAATGAACATGAAACCATAGAAGCCAAGGAACCAAGGTGCATCTGCCTTTGTCATCCACAATAAGCGATTGTTTAGTTCAAAAATAAAATTTTATTTTCGAATAATATTTTTAAAGTCACAAACACATTATCAGAAAATTAAGCATTTAAATAGGCGTACATTTTAACGAATATTTTTTTATAAAATGCAGATACAATTGAGATGTACTAAAGATATACTAAAAGAGAATAAGAGGCAATAAATTAGCATCAAAATTTGACATTGGTAAAAAAATTGTCGAGAAAATCCACCTCAAATATTGACTTCGCAAATGTCTCAGTTATTATTTTTTCTATTCTTGTAAACTCCGCACACTGATGCTCATAAAGTGGGTTTACTAAACCTTGTTAGCATTACGAGAACCGCTGGCGCTGTAAGTGGTCTCTAACAAGTTAGAGAGGGTCTTATCTGTTCTGAAGAAACAGGTTGAATGATGGTGGAATCGTCGGCTCGTTATCCGGAAAGCATACAATGTAACAGGCACGTATACATTACAAGCCATTTGAACTGCAATAAAACGCTAGAAACATATAATGATATCTTTAGGAGCTGAATACTCCATGGATGTGTGAAAATATATTTTAGGAGTAAAATAAATTGAAACTGAATACTCTTATTGAATAATCTTCTATTTAAATTAACGTAGACACGCTATTTTGTGTTTTATTTTCATTTAATTTACGTTATAAATAATGTTCGTTATAAATAATAAAATTGAAATCTAAAGATACATGAACATATATCTTATAAGGAAATGTCTTATATGAAAAAAGTTTATATTTTTTTTTATTTTCCCGAAAATACCATTTAAAAATTATTTCGCATGAGCTTCAAGCGGAAACATAACCAGAACGCGCCTGGCGTGAGCAACATACGCACCTGTTCGCACGACATCTCGTTGAAACATTCACTTCAAGAAGTTTCCAGATGCTTTCTGGAGCTTATGAATAAAAGTTCACCAAGGTATTTTGCTGAACCCCCGAGGTCTTTCTTCTTAATCGGCTCAGTTATCGAACCACAGATATTTGAAGAAATGTTTCAGAAAAGTTACTACGAATGTCACGTCGTTCATAACGTTATTCGTTACTACGAATGTCGTAACTTTATTTCAACACACGAATCACTAGTGCAAAAGCCCCTTTCCTTCGTAATGGACTGTCGGAACACTGTGTTGCTGTGAGACCTGAAGCTATCTTTTACATCAAAGTTCTCTGGCCGCTTGTATTAATGCAACTTTGTATTTGTGAACACTATTCCAAATTATAAAAAAGAAATATTTGGATCATTTGAACGCATTTGCAAGAAAGATGACTCACGGATTCACAGAATATTTCAGTAAAAGGCACCAACTAAAATCTCAGTGAAAAAGTAGTGTTGTTTGTTTAATAAACACAGTCGCTGAAAGACTTCTGGGAATATAGCCCTGCACACACGTTCTCTATCACACTTTTACCAAATGTTTCCACTAATTACAAAATTTTAAAACAAGTTTCAACTTACTATGAAGTAACATAACCCACATGTTTCGAAGAGAAAGACTGTCAATACACATCATTTAATAAGAATGCAATGTCACTGGCACAAGAACATCTAGATTACAAGAGCCAGATAACTTCAATGTTCAAAAACACTTTTAGAACCAAAAATTTCAAATCCAAATTATTTATTTTACCGAACGTAAAGAAAATTGTACACTCGTATTACGCAACTCTAATAGTACGCAGTATCATTGTATCAGTGGTGAATCTCTTATAACCGGAATTATCCAGAGAAACCCGAGCAGTCCGAGTTCATAAAACAATCAGAACCAATCATTACAATACTTCACCATATTAAAGATAACTACATACTATTATTATGACTCTTCAATATTATGCAGCACCATCTCAACACAAAAAAAACAAACGAATCTGTTATAACCGAAAGCACCAAGAGGAACCGGAGCAACCCTTAGGGCGAAAGGTGTCTGAGCGTGTTCTTGAGCCCTGCGGAACCCCTAGCCGGGCGGCGCGGCGCGGTGCGGTGCGGTGCGGTGCGGTGCGGTGCGGTGCGGTGCGGTGCGGTGCCGTGTGGTCGCTGGTGGCGGTCGCTGGCTTTTGACGCGGGCGAGGCCCCGCCGGGACTTCCCTCCCGCCCCCGACCCCGCCCTCGTCCTCGTCCCCGTCCCCGCCCCGCCCCGCCCCCGCGTCACGCCGCGCCGTCTCCAGCTGGAACCGCTTCGCGCCGCGCCGCGCCGTCGCAAGACGCGCCGGGGCGCGCGCCGCCGCTTCATCCTCTTGATTGGAGAAGCTCGCGGCGTCGACTGGCGCTATCTCTCACACGCGCTCCGGCGCCCCGGCGTGCGGGGGGAAAAGGTCAAGGGCTGGGAACAGCGCACAAGGACCTGCCCGTGATGCGCGGGGGAGGGGTTGTGGATGTTTGTTGCGATGTGACCACGGGTCGTAGATTTGCAGCGTGTCAAGGAACATGCCTAACTGACCATGGTGAATTAAATCTGTTATAATGAATTTACGGATTCCGACCGGATGCCGATCAATGACTTGTTTTGTTTAAGGGCGAAGCAATCCTTCGTCCACCTTCCATGACAAGAAAAGTGAAGCTGACAGTCCTGCGACGCAGATTTGTGGAACATGCCACAGAATGCAAGCATAAAATACGTCTGTCAATTAACTTTTAAAACAGCCGATGCCATTGAAAATCTAAAACTGCACATCGTGCTAGTAACAGCTTCATTCGTTAACATATGACTTTCAGGCAATATATCTGCGATCACTATTATCACACAGATACAATTAGAGCGAAAAAACTGCAAGAAAGAAGCGCAAAATCTGTAGCATTTATTATTTTTAATTATGATTTAATGATTTGATTAACAAAGAAAAATGACCAGGACATTTAACAAAAGGTTTATCATCCGATTTAATAATTAAAAAATTATGTAGACTTCAAAACTATTATTCTCACTTTTCACCACATTGGTCAGAAGAATGTTCAATTTATGAATATCTGAAAATCATTAAAGGTGTTTAATATGATGGTACTTGTTTCATAAAAAATAAAATATCAACCACGTAAAAATATTGGACACCAAACATCAATGTAAGAAAAACATTGACTTAAAAAATCGACTATAAATTCATCGATTATTTTATTTAAATTAATCAATGCTTTGGAAACATCGACACTGATAACGCATCCCTAATTCGCAGTGACATAGTTATTGGAGTCTCCATATGTAATGTGGCTCGAACATGGAACAAAAAATGGCAAGGGTTCCAGGTAACGAACATCTCCTAACACTCATAGACGGAAGAAACCAACCACGGCAAACCAACCGTTCGACCAATCGACCAACCGAACGATCGACCGAGAAACTGATCACGAAATTATAGGAAGGGTCAGTCGAAAGGGTGAACTGACTTTTGCGTTACGAAGGAAACAATGTAAAGCAAGACGTGAATCACGAATTTGAGTAAATTTTCACGAACCTTAGTTAACATCCAAGAAACTTCCACGAGGCTTTATAGAAATCCAACAGTTTCATGTTCATGTTCCTCAGAAGAGGTGGTCTAAACACTGCACTTGAGTTTGTGTCAACAACGAAATTATCGGAAGGGTCAGACCAAAGGGTGAACTGACGTTTGCGTTACGGAGGAATCAATGTAAAGCAAGACGTGAATCACAAATTTGAGTAAACATTTCACGAACCCTATTTAACCTGCAAGAAGCTTCCACGAGGTTTTATCAAAAATCCAACAGGTTCAGTTCATGTTCCTCAGAAGAGGCAGTCTAAACTCTGCACTTGAGTTCGTGTCTAAAACAAATGCATCACAAATATGCGACCTACTTTAAAGATGTTCGCTCACCAACATTTTTCAAAGGAAAATGTGAGCTCTATTTTCACACATCATTTTGTGTGCCCATTTCAGATATACCAAGTATTGGCTTTTCTCACGTTTTCCCCACAACCGTCGTGCTCCCCGTGCCTCCGTCTACCAAACGAACCTGCTGACAGTTGTGTAACACACAAACAAGAGGCAGCGATGCGAATGAACTTTTGCAACCTGGAACGAAGCACGCGGAGGAGGCGCGACGCGCAGAAAAGAAACAAACGTTTATCTCCTTGGAGCGCAAGACAAAGGCAGCGACGTGAGGGAACGCCGATATTGCCCATAGGACTAGCGGCGTGTCGCTGCACACGCCCGTGCGGGCTTCCACGCCTCATAAAACGCCGTATCTTTGCTGCACGGAATGGGCCGTTCCCATTGGACCACGAGCCTTTCGCTTCTCCCAGCGACCGTCGCGGCCATTCGCAGCAACGCGCTGCGGTTGCGTCTAAAAGCGGCGGTTGTTTGGATGCACTTACGAGCGACGACTTCTGTCGAAAGTAAGGCCTCACACGCACCTAGCGATTTACTTAGCCGTAAACTTGAGCCGCCTTGAGATCTTCCAAAAGTCGTCCGTGTTAAACAACTCCAGAGGCATCTATTGGGAGCGAACAATGATGATTATTAAGGTTTAAAGGGCGCTTCAAAAGGTAAGGTCATTGGCGTTCGAATCAAATTATTTTAAAAACATTACGCACTGTGTCAGTGCCAAGCTAAAACATGTTTTAATGCAAAGTAAAATTTGAGTAAAACTAGAAATGAAAGAATCCAATAGTAAAAGAGTTTGGCAGAAAAATGAGATAAATATTTTAAAATATCCAACTAAAAAAGGCAAATCATTGGATGTATTCTCTTCTCTCAGATAAGACTGTAATGGTAGCAAACAAAATGCCTTTTTGCATTACATACTGCTATCATGCAAGTAATACCTAATAAATTACCAGAATTACACATACATATTTCAGATTTAATGAATAAATATAATTTTTAATCTTTATCTACCCGATTCATTATTTCCATCCTCCCAATTCAGCCTCACACACTTTACCACATCTCACCTTCTTGAAAATAGTTTTGTCTCAATACGTCAATAATAAATAACAGCAATTGCGATTGCGAAAACGTTATTTGGAAAATGTATTACCCGTTGTTAGGTTTTCTCAACCAAAGTACCAAATTTGACGAGTGAAATTTATTGCACTGTAAACATCTTTTGTAAAAATTAAGAAATTCGACACATATATTGGGGACGTAAATATAAAATTAATTGTATTTATCCAAATAATGTTTGTATCAAAATAATTTTATCAACTTGCTCAGTACAATAAACATCCTGAGCGGAGGGCAGGATATTTTTTGACGCTCATATTAATATTTAATGTGATACATAATCATGAAAAATAATTTTTATAGAATATATAAAATTATAAGGTTCGGTAGATAAAAATCACGATTTGTACCATACGTGAATTGTTTGCCGTTTTATCATTTTGAGCAAATGAGAACAGAGATACGCCCGACTCATTTTCTTGCCCTTGCAGATGCAAAGTCATAGAGGGATTTGTAAGATTATGGGCACGCGTGTTCAGTGTGGCTGGAACAGACTCACTTGCTTGAGTAGCGCTATCAAAATGTGTCGTAATGTGTCATCCCCGACAGCGGTGATAACTTGAATTATTTCTCGGGTTTATTTTAGTGGTGAATAAACTCACAAAACATTAGTACGCAAGCAAAACCTTATGAAATCAACTGCACATCGTAATTGTTCAAAGAAGGAGAAAGTGTGCTCACGTAATGTACAGAAAAGATGAATTTCAAGTAGTATTGCACTGCAATGCAGATGAGGAAATGAGGTATATAACTCCAGGTAGTGGGGGTTGTGTTGTTGATTTTACTCAATTTTGTCACATGCCTAGAAGGCAACTCGTGGTCCTCCACACATTCAATATGTTGTGTAAGCAATGTAAAAATATCATCAGCAAATTGGTTATCTTACTGCATTCCATAACGGTGATCTATAGCATCCTCAAAGCAAAGTTATAACATTAGAAGGGGACAATGATTCTCGTTTGAATTAGTCTTTAGCAATTTTGTATTTGTTTGCAATCTCGTTATTATACACCCATAAATACTTTCTTAATGTTTCCAAATTGCCTTTTTATTTCAGCCATTTTGTGTTTTAAAATGGTTTTCATAGATAAATAAAGATCAATCTTCCATATCCCCAGGGCTAATAACCCTGCGGAATAAAAATCGCACTCAGCTAAATGCTGGTCCCCAATTAAAGTTACATTCACCTGCCACCACGATAATGATACGAGAGCCACGGTAAATGCAGGATGCATGCATGCACGGTCCTAGTCAGCGGAGTCGCGAGCAAAAAAATAAAATACTGTAAGGAAAGATGACAGTTATTGTATAGTTGGATGTACAAAAAGCACTGCTTAATTTAAAACGTTGGCACGGAGGGACCCCAATAGTATCATTTTTTTTATTATTCAATATCCAAATCACTCAATAAAATAGTAAATTTAAAAAAGAATAATGGACTTAAATTCAATATGACGAATTAAATTCTGGCAAATATTCATCTGAATAATACGTGTAACACTTCATATGATATTGGAGAAGTTGGAGACATACAATACGCATGCAAATGAATAGCAGTTTTTAAACTGAATAAAATACAGCAAAGTTTTCTATCTAAATCCTACTTATGGCATACAAAACTCACTTGTACTGACTATTTCATATTGCCTATTTTCAACATATCCTAGATTCAACTTAAGTCACGTAAAAGTCGACATCGTACGAGTACATGAAATACAGGACACGATATAATGTCAGTGCAATATCTTCTTTCAGCACATGTGCTACTATTGGTGCTACAGAATGTCACAAACGTTTTCGTACTACTTGGTTTTTTATCTCTTTAGTCTGGGCTAGGTTTTCTACTTTGCCCCACCCTTTTCCCAGTTGCAATCTCTCGGGGCTTGAAAGTATTTTTTCTTTTTAATTGTTAAATTTGTTCGGTCACCTAATAGTACAACTGACA